TTTTCTGATTTCTGACGTCTTTTTCTTTATTAAGCATTGAGGAACCAAATTATTACATTTCCTGTAATATCTACCACATTTATTACCAAAAATTATAACCCTTTGTATCTGTATAAGGCTTTTCATTTTTCAGGATTCTTTCATAAATATTATATTTTATGTTATAAGAAACTTTTCCAAATATGTAATGTATATTTCATTATACATGCTGGAAAGTTGGAGTAGCTAAAGGCAAAATTACCTTCCTAGGATGACCAACAAATGGAAAAGCTGGGACTGGAGTCCAGGTGTAATAATTTATAATCCCAGACTTCATTATGCCTCTGCTAATTATTGTCTATAAATATGAACACAGATAATTTTCAGACTGCTGGTAAATGTTTAACAACTGACTTGGGGGTGGGGGGCATGGAGATCCCTCATTCATAGCTTTTGCCCATTTCCATGGTGTAAGTACTCCTACTGTGGCTGATTTCATTCTACCAACTCAATGTCAGTGAACACAGAGTTGGGAAGTGGTGCATGTAGTCAGCTCTTGCAAGCTAGCAGGCGCTGGTTTAGCATACCACGGTGTTCGCAACAGTATCTATTAGATGCTGACTCCAAGATTTCATCAGATGAAGTTAGTTATTTAAGGACACTATTTTCTGATATGTCATACCTCTCCATTTTTCCTGAGTACTCAGTTGATTGCTTGGCATGTGACATGTTTGGATAAAAAAAAGCAGGTATTGAAATGACCTCTAAGGATCCAGACTTCACTTGCCTTTTAAATCTATAAATAAACGTAAGTAGAGGCTTATAATTGAATATTAGATTTACCAAAATAACAAATACTTAAAAATAATTTCCTTATGCATGTGAACACAATATTTTGATTTGAATTATTTCACATGTTGACACATGATACCAACATCATAAAACTGATAAAAGTATTAAACAAAGTATTTCTTTTATAAATTAGTGGCAGACATATCAAAATGTTAAAATATACAGTATAAAATTAATTTCCTCTTACACAAATTGTAGGTATTTTGAAATTTTTTGTTTCTAATGAAATGTGGACTCTCACATTCAAGATAATGGAGCTAATGTGTTATGATAGCACAGCAACTGCAAGATAGCAGGAACATTAGATCACTTATTAAATGCATAATTTTGAATTTAGTAAGAGCCCTACCAAATAGCAATGTGGCTTCTGAAACTAGACTATCACAGCAAGCAAGATTGTCTGGCTCTTGTCCACATCTCGTTGGAGGACTGTGTATACTTTTTGTATATTTTTAAAAGTTAGTATTGATAGACCAACAAGGACATCACTGAAATACATAAAATACTTCTCACAAAAGCTGTAATATAAATCTTGTACCATCAAGGTAAAAGATGGGAGGCCAGGTAGAACATTTTAAATGGACTTCTCTTGTGATAGATAATACAACTTTAAATGGGATTTAAATTTAGGCATTACATTATTTATTAAAATGATAAAGCCTCAAGGAAATGTTTGTTTTATACTACATAGAAGAACAGGACAAGGTTTTATATGCACGATCTCAACCACATACAAAATAGGTAGTCACCACTTTGTGCAATTCCAAACACATGAATTCAGTTACCGCATTTTAGTTAAATAACGTGTCTCCCCCAGTGACGCTGTTCCAGTTATAGTCACCGTGGTGTATTAACTGTGAATTATTGTGGGAAGTCCAAACGTCACTGCCAGCTCTTCAGTGCACAAATCACTACATAAATAACAGACGCACGTCGTCATACCGACTAATCCCACCACTTCTTTCAAAGTCTGTTGGTGATTGGTCACCACGCATCTGCTTTACAGTTCTCTTACAGACAGCAAAACATGCAGTTGTGTTGCCTCGTCTCCCAGTGATAAAGAAACCCACATGACGTAACAAAAATAGGTAATCAGGAAAGGGAATTGGCTGACGGATGAAGTGCAGAAAGTGAATCGGAAGTGAATTTGGATGTTACCATAAGATGGCTGATCGTGGGAGTGTCGACACCTCTGCTGTTTGACTCTAGATGAGCAACAAAGGTAACTTAGTAAAGGTGAACTTACATGACATAACGAGGAGACTGGTGGTGGCAAAAAGTATGTCACATAGGACGTGACGCTGCTAAAAAATTTCTCATTAAAGGAACTCTCAGAGATATTTCATGACTTTGAAAATAAAAATGCTAAAATGTTGGAATCTGATCCAAACTTAGAAAGGAGTATAACAATTTGCCAACCCATAGAAAAGATGTTTGCTCTGTATTTTAAGTTACATGGCAAGAAGGAAAGCACTGTTTAAACTAATCTTGATAAATTTTCTAAAAGAAATAAAACACTTTTAGTACTCAATGATTCTAACTTTTTAAACTACATTGTACTACATTAGCTTTACAATATTCTTCATTTTTCTATCCATTTACAGTTGACAATGAGAGAGTAATATTTTGACAAATGTTTAAAGGTCGTGGAACACTTGTGATTTTCCCCATTGATTGTTAGTATTGCCTCTATCATTTTTATGGCCCAACATTATCTTGCAAATCAAGGATCACCTGAATATATGTAAACACACACACACACACACACAAAAGGAAACACATGATTTACAATGGGTATGTATCACAAGCATGGGGTAGGAATAGCAGATTGTGCAAGAGAGAATGTGAGTTTGACTCAGAAAAGTCTCTGTACCAACTTTGCTTCTTTCACTTACAGACTTTGAGCAAGGAATTTAGTTTCTCTGACCTTCAATTTCCTCATCTATAAAACTGGAATAGCAATATATACTTTTTGGGAAAAGAACTGTTCAAAATACAGGCTGGAATTCTTCCTAGGCTCTGTGTATTAGTGGAAGAATTCCTGGTTATTTATTTTGGTGGGAGTGTACATGTGGAAAGGTAGGGAATGAAAAGTCTTATTGGCTGCCCTCTGATTTTATGGTATTTCAAATAGAAAGCTATTAAAAACCTAATTGTAATATGTTCCTTAGGGAGTAGAAAATACTGGTATGGAAGCAAAGAAGAGGGAGTTCTGTTTGTTTGCTTTGGGATAAAAATTAGTCACATAATGTCTAAATTTTTTAAGTGAAGTTGTGTAACTTTAAACAATAAGACTTTGTATGGCAATTTAGAAATACAGAGGCAAATGAAAATAACATCAAGTTGCAGTGTATACAATCATCAAAAAGTTTGGATTACTGTGGTTAATAAGTAAATTTTGTCCTTTAGGCAATTTCATCCAAAGACCAAAAGCACCAAAGGTCAAGTTACAAATAATTTCTACCTTAGGCCGGCCCGGTGGCGCACTGCTACAGTGCACCGCTTCGGCAGCGCTCCCGCTGAGGGTTTGGATCCCACATACAGACCAGCCGCTCACTGGCTGAGCGAGGTGCGGGAGCAACACCGAGGGTTGCGATCCCGTTGCCAGTCCCAGTCCAGTACGGGTGCGACACTGAGGGTTGCGATCCGTTGCCGGTCACGAAAAAAGACAAAAAGGAAAAAAACAAAAACAAAAACAAATAATTTCTACCTTGATGGTATAACTTCCCAGTGGTGATTTAGAAAAAAATTCCAGTCTTGGTTGTATTCAACCTTTATTAAGCAAGATACTTGGAATTCTGTGTGGTGACACCTTTCTAGGACCCTTTAAGACTTTCCTAGTTTGTTAGATTAGGAACAGCGTCAAAAGTTCTTGAGGTAATACTAGAATTGCTAGTTGCCAATGACAACTATAGGTTGTTGCCATTATAAATGTATAATTTTACCTTGTAGACATATAAAAGTGGCAAACATACAGCTCTATGGTTTTATATAAAGTACATAATTATACTCAGGTTCATATAATATTATATACATAACCTTAGTTGGGTCCTTTTAAAAGTTTCTTAGATTTAGGACCAATTCAAATATAAAGCAATCCCTCATTACCCCAATGAGAAGACCTAGAAAAAGGGGTTTTGGCTAAATTAAATATACAAAAGTTTAAGTATGTAAATAAGTCAAATGTCTACATTAACTTAGATGCAGTCACATATTTTAAACTGCATATTCTATAATGCATTATTTAATTATTAAAGTTTATTTATTAATATTATTTTACATTCTATGATGTTGTTGCAGAGCAGTTGGAAGGGAGGGGAAGAGGGGAGAGGGGAAGGAAATAGGGTGAGAGAAGGAGAAAGGAGGAGGGGCAAGGTTGAGGCCTGTGGCACCCCCCTCATTCCTGCATGGGAAACCAGAGGGCTTCAAGCAGTGACTTGGCCATTGCTGGGCTGGGTACAGATGTCAGAAGGGTGTGGCTGAGGCCCTAGGCCCCCACCCTTGGGACTGGTTGTGGGTGTTGGGGGGCATGGCTGAGGCCCCAGCCCTCCCCCTTTCCTGGCTTGGTAGCCCAGGGGACTTTTGATCCCTCTAGGTTTTATAGATGTTTGGTGAAATGAGACTTTTACTAGTTAATATCAAACTTTGTCTCTTGTCTGTGGGTATTTTGTTTTTTCTTTCAGGTCTGTGTTGGATTATTTGCTGTTCCCATCACTTAAACTCTGTGCTGGAACTACTTTGTCCTTGGCTTACTTCTAAAATGGGGGAACTTCCTGTGGGGACTAGCACTTCAGCTCTGTGGTTGAGCTAAATTGCTGCTGTGCTGCCAGTTCCCTGGGGAAGGCCTTTTGTGCAGCTCAGGTTTTAATGGTTGACTTTATAGATACTTCCGGAGCTCATGAGATCCAATACACTTGTGTTGTGTAGAAACTCTGGTCTGGGCCTGAGTCTTTTCAGCAAACTGCACCCCCTGCAGTTCTATATTCCTGAGCAGTCTCCACTGAGTGGTCCTACGCTGATTGGGGGGCAAATCAGCTGTCCTTGCTGTGCCCCAGTGTTCTTCTGGTGGGTCCATCTCCCCCACCACCCATGCTCCAAACACTTCCCATGGGACGGGCCATGCACCAGTCCCTTGAGATGACTCACGGGCCTCTGAGAGGCTTTTTTTTTTCAGTTGTTGTGGCTCCTTGCTCCTGTGTGGGTCTGTGGGAACCCTATTTGTAGTCTTGCTGGCCTGCAGGTCACCAAGCCCCACTTCTCCCCTGCAGCCTCCAAACAACTCCATTTGAAGGGCACAGCTGTGGCTTTTGATGGCTCCTGCTTCATGCACTCAGCAGCTCCAGCATGGAAGTAGCCCGGGCTCAAAACGGTCAGAGCGGTTTTTTTTCATCATGGCTTCTCCTGCCTTCATTCTCTCTGTAGGTCTCTCCTCCTCTTCCCTTGAGCTCTAGCGGCACCAGCGTGGCTGTCATTGCTTTTTAATAGTTGTAAATTGGTTGATTTGTGGGAGAGAGTGACACTGGGGACCATCTGTTCTGCCATCTTTGTGTTAATTTAAATTATTGCTTTATTCTACTCTGAAAAAATTTTTTAAAAAAATTTTATTCTAACACTGTTAACATCAATACCATTATCACCACTAGAGGCACTTTTTGAATCATCTGACATAGTTTTCTAGTACACTTGATTTTCACCTCCATCTAAAATGCAGCAATTCCTGAAACCAGAGACATTATCTGTGAAACTTTATAGAAAATCACAAATATTCTCATATATTATTTTTTTTTCATTTGTGATCTCCACAAGTAACCACACACTACAATTCTTTTTAAAGTGATTTTCAAAAGACTTGCAATTATGGAGTCATATCCCCAGGAATCACATGTAAATCTTTGCCCTCTTTTTGATTGATTCTGTCAAGAATCCCCCTTAAAGATACCAGACTAGCATAGACTGAGGTCATTTCAGGCTAAAGTGTCTCTCCAAATAGTAGTTTATTATTCAGAATAAAGCAAGAGAGTATCCTTGAACATGAGAAGATTTTTAAGGACTCAAGTATGAGACAGCTTTTTTTCTGGGTAATCTTCTAAGGAGAACAGTGGTCCTATACGGTGTTTTATTTAATCTTGCCAACTCCCTCTCCCTTTATATACATCACCTTCTTTAGGCCTTCACTACTGATCTTAAGTTCCTTTACTGCCAACAAATCCCTCATTCTCAACACACGATCTTATCTCCTTCACAGAGGAAAGAGAACCTTTAGGGAGGGAACTATGATCCTACCCTTTTCCCCCAAACATTAATTTTTCCACTCTTTCACCTGTTCTTATCCCTTTTTTCTGTGGTCTTAGTGCTGTCTAGAGCTCCCTTTATCTGCAATTTGCATGCAGTCCCCCAGGCCTTGCTCTACCTGCTTCTTCCCTCTTCACTAGACCCACCTCAAAACATCCCCAAATAGGATTCTTCCTTCAAGATAGTGTGTTTTGACTTTTCTCCTTATCCATTCAGCTTATTGAGAACAGTCTATATTCAATTCTTTAAATTTTGAAAAATTACTTTTATGTATACATATTTATGGGGTACAGAGTGTTGACTATCAGTATTTGTGTACAGTACGAAATGATAAAATCAATATTATTAGCATGTTCATCATTACAAATCGTAATTACTTTTTGTGTCTCTTATCCAATTACTCCCTCTTCCCCCTTCCCCTTCCCATTTCCAATCTCTAGAAACTATAGGTCTGTTCTCTCCTTCTGAAAGTTCAACATTGTATTATGACCTTTCTTTCCTTGTTCCTTAGCTCTCACTTATGAGTGAGAACATGTGGTATTTCTCTTTCTGTGCCTGGCTTATTTCACTTAACATAATTTTTTCCGAGCTCATGCATATTGCTGCAAACGGCAGAATTTCATTCTTTTTAATGGCTAAGTAGTATTCCATTGTGTATACATACCACATTTTTTTTTATCCAGTTATCAGTTGATGGACATTTAGTTTGGTTCCAACTCTTGGCTATTGTAAATAATGCTGTGATAAACATAGGAGTGCAGGTGTCCCTGTGACATGACAATTTCTGTTCCTTTGGGTATATAAACAGAAGTGGGATTGCTGGATCATATGGTAGTTCTTTCTTTAGCTGTTTGAGAAACCTCCACCCTGTTTTCTGTAGTGGTTGTACTAATTTACAGTCCCACCAACAGTGTAGGAGGGCTCCCCTTTCTCCCACATCCTCACCAGCATTTGTTATTCTTTGTCTTTTTGATAATAACCAGTCTAGCCAGGGTAAATTTTTATTATAAAAATTACCAAACATAACTACAAAAGTAGAAACATAATGAACCCCAAATCACTTGCTTTCAATAAACAGTAATTTTCTACCACATTTATTTTTTTTATTTTTTTATTTTTTTTGTCTTTTTTCCGTGTCCGGCAACGGATTGCAACCCTCAGTG